CAGTTGTTGCTCTCCGTGCTGCATGGAGCCCCTTTGCTCCCAGGCACAGTGCTGTGCCCGGTGACAGCTCTGTGCTGCTGCAGTGAGCCTTGCCCAGAGGCAGGCTGTGCTGCACAGCCAATGCTGCCCATAACAGGGAGCCACTTACGAAGGCCATCAAACTTTTCCAGGGGTTTGTTATTGACAAGTTCAGGTGGTTTAGGAAAGCTCTGAGGGAGGCTCACTCTAAAGAGCCTTAGATAGGGTTAAGTTGGTGCACAAAGTTACCTGTGTTGAGGTTTTGTATGAGCACACGCAGCTGGGTATGCTAAGTGGGTGGATGGTATTGCTCAGTTCAGTTTGTGTGATGGCTCTGAGCAGTTTGGACCGCAGACTGGCAGTGCACGTGTGCCTGAAGTTTGCATTGGCAGTGACCCAGGGCAGCAGCGCCTGTCTGCGTTCATCCCCTTGTGCTGAATCCCAGCATGGCAACTTGTGTGTGGCTGTGCCCAGAGACCTTCTTCACTATTTTTTTAGGTCTTTTTAATTAAACTCATTATTTCTTGGACAGCAGAAGAATCAGTACGGCTCGGGGCTTGGTGGTTCCAAGGCGGCTGGGTCACCCCTCCCGCTGGCAGCTCCCATGACCCTATAGCAGGAACCAACCCATACTCAGCAACCGCTTCACCTGCGGAGCTCGGTAACATTTCGGGAGCTGGCAGAACACTTCTTGTGTCTGACCATGCACAGCCACCTGGTGCATGGCTTTCCCGGGGTACGGCGAGCGCTGGGACCACCGCGGGGGAAGCGCAGCTCCGTCCCCCGACGTGCGGCTAAGTTAAAGGAGCGGAGGGCGTTCTCGCTCGTGGCGTCGCTTTTGTGGGGCAGCGCGGCGACTGCTTAATGGGATGCGCGAGCTGAAGTAAACAGTGCTGCAGGATGCTTATTTGCTCCTATTAGCGGGTGAACCGGCGCTCCGCTAAGATTTATTTAGACACCGGTGGTACAAATAAATAAATACATACATACATTTAAAAAGTGCTTTTGCCGGAGAGAAGCCGGAAAGCCCTGCACGTACTTTGGCCGCTGGTTCCGCGGTCACCGAGCCCCGCACGGCGGTCCGGCCGGGCCCGGGAGAGCGGGGACCCACCGGCGCCCTGCGGGGAGCGCTGCGCTCCCGGCCCGCCCGCGCGGGTGGGCGCGGAGGAGCCGCAGGGCCCGCATCCGTCCATATCCATAGTAACGGCGGGGGCCGGGGGGAGGCGCCGCGGCAGCTGCCCGCCCGCCGCAGCCCGCGCGGCGCCGGGACCGCACCGAGCCGCGGTGAGCGCGCGCGCCCCCGCCCCCGCGGGCAGCGCGGCCGCGGGAGCGCGCGCGACCGCGGAAGGAGCGCGCGGGAAGCGGGGGGGTGTCAGAAGGGGGGCGCGGCGGGGGCGCGCGCGGCGGCGGCTGGACGGGGAGGGCGGCGGGGGCTCCGTTGTGCGCGGCTCCGCGGCGCTCTCCCTGCCTGACTCACCGCGGGGCGCGGGGAGATGCTCAGCGCCGAGGGGTAGCGGCTGCGGAGCAGACGCCGACCCCCCCGCCAGCCGCCCCCCCCCTCCGTTCCCTCCCCGCCCCCGCCGGGCTCGGCAGCTCTGCCCGCCGCCGCCGCTCCGAGGTGAGACCGGGAGGCAGGGGAGGGAAGGGATGGGCGAGCTCCGGGCGCGCACGGGGGGCCGGGCGCGGGGCCACCGGGCGCCGCCCCCGCCCCGCCGCGCAGCCCGGAGCGGGGGGCGGGGGACCGGGGTACGGCGAGCGCACCCCGAGGGCGGCAGCTCCGGCGGCGGACACCGGGGAGAGGGCGGCGGGGAGGGAATCGCTGCGCCTGCTGCGACCGCCGCCGCCGATTATGTCAGCCCGGGCGGGCGGCGGCGCTGAGGGGCGGGCGGGGAGGCGGCGGCGGGGCCGGGGAGTTTGGGCCGCCGGAGGGACGCGGTGCCGCCTCCGGCCAGCGCTCCCCGTGCGCGCTCCGAGCGCTGTGCGCCGCGCCGGGGGCGGCGGGGGAGGCGGCGGCATCGCGTGTGCTGAGCCCGGAGCCTGCGGCGGCCGCCCCGGGGTTGTGCCGGGCTGGGCGGCGAGCCCCGTCCCTGCTCCTCGGAGCTGTAAGTTGGCCGCGACGTGCCGCGGTCCGAAACTTGGAGTCGGTTTCCCGGCCCCTGCGGCTAGCGGAGGTCCACGGGTGGAGCGATGCGCTACGGCCGGGTACCAAAAAAAAGGGGTGGGTGGGTGAGAAGAAGTGTGCGGGGAGCAGAACCGCGGTGCGTGCCTCGGTATCTCGGGGGGCTCGCGTCTGGCAAACCCATCTCCGCGAGCGGTGCTTACCGCATAGCAGGAAGGCACCGGCGGCATCGAGCGAGACAAAAAGCTACCTGAGATTTCCGTTTGGCTCTCAATTCCCCGCACACGTGCGGTAGCGGTTTTTGCAAGGAATTTTAGCATGTGGACCGATGCGTGTTGCCATGTGCCGTGTTCCACGGGAATCCCTTCTGCTCTCTGAGCAGCTGCATTGTGTGCCCACACGCTCGGGTTCCAGGTGTGCTCCGCTCCGTTGGCAGCGCCGGCGGTGATGGGGAGAGCTGTGGTGTCCGTCTGTGGCCGGATTAGTGGTAGCTTACGGGAAAGGGCCCTTAGAGAACAGTTCAACTTCTGCCATTAGTGAGGCACAAAGTAGTGCTGGAGTAGACCCTGACGTGACGGGTAATAACTTGTTTCTGCACGCATCGAGAATCAAGCTGTCATCCTCTCTATGTGCCAAAATGCAAAATGTTAACAACCTGCTAAAAAAAGAACCTGAAGAATAAGATCCAGTCGTGTGATAATAGGGGCTTTCTCGTGAATAAATACGAGTCCGAGTTGATAGTTGTTTGCCAGGTAGGAAACCTTGATCCCGCGGTGTGATAATTACTGCGTGGGTAAAACTCCGTCCGGATGGTATCCTAAAAATCTCTATAAACTCTGAGCAGCATGGAGTGTAGGTGATTTTAGCCAACGAATTTGGATCTGGCAATGCTTGTTAGCTTGTTAGCTCCATTCCCTTTTTTTTTTTTTAAGAGAAGTAATACCAGCTACGGTCATGCGGTCGCCTGCAGAACCTCCTTGCCCTGTGCACCTGGTAGTTCTGTTTCAAGAATTTGTGCAAGTGGTTGGCAGCTTAGAATTGTGAGAATTCGAGGCAAACTCTGCTTCGTTTTGTAACGAAAGATAAGTTCTGAATTTTATTCAGAGAAAGGAGATACGAAGTAGGAAGAGATAAATGTATCCGGTAAGAAGGCAAGCAAAAATATACTTTACCTATTGTACTTTGAACGCATTTAAATGCAGTAAGTACCCTGAAACAAATTCAGAAAGCTTGGTGCTCTTTCTCTTGGGATCTCTTCGAAGGAAGGGAGAGTGGGAAAAAACTCTTCTGTGTGGAAGTGAGCACATAGAGTTAAAAAGGGAGGGCAGAATACGGAAAAAGTAGCAACAGAGAACAGAGCTGTTGATCAAGCTATTACCAACTCTGAGGCTGCAGTGAACTAAGCAGAAACAGGGAAGTCGGCTCTGGGTGAGAGTTTTGCTGCTGAGGAACTTGAGGAAGGAGCTGTGACCCAGATTAGCCAGGATTTGCCTTGCATTCCAAGAGTAAGATGTATTTTAATGTAGAAGTGATCCATGTTGACATTGGTTATTTGTATTTATTTCCAGCAATAGAGAGGTACAGATTGTGCTTTCTTGTAACAATGAATGGCTGGCATTTTGGTAAGGATCTTTGTATTTATTTATCACACGTTAGTGATAGGCGTAATGGTTAATAGGAAACTTCCACCTTGATTTGAACAGACTGAAAAACTGCCAAGCATTGGACTTTAGATCTCTTGACTCTTAGTCCCAAAAGATTTCACTGTGCATGCAGACTGGAAATGAGAACAGAAATGAGCGAACGGTATAGTTCTGGGTTCAGTCTCTATTCATTTGTCAGGCAGTTTGACAGTTGGACCAGACGATCTTAAAGGTCTTTCCCAGTTTTAATGATTCTGTGCTAAGTAAGGCAGTGTTCTATTTCTAAGACCAGACCTTTTTCCTGGTCATCATATTGTCACAGTGCTTTGCTTACTTAATGTTGAAAATTTATGCTAGTCTTCGAAATCAGCAATCATTGGGGTGGACTGGTCAATTTCTACTCTGAGAGGTATGATATGGAATTACTTGCACATATGAGAAATTGTTGGTTTACACTAGTTCACATTTCCAATGTTGTTTTCACAGCTGTTTGAGCTGCAGGCTTATTTTTAAGAAATCACAGTCAAATTCTGGAGAATAACACCTTCATGAAATTGTACCAGCCTGGCACTCTTCGCAATCTGATGCAATTTTTGTGTAGGCAATAGCAGAGAGCTGCTTGCATTTGTTCTTTTAGTCCATGTGCCAACTACGCCAGCTTGTCTCCAAGGTGGTAGTCTTGGTTCTGAGTATCAGAGGGTTACGATGTAGGTAAACCTGGCTTAGAAGAGGTATTCAAGCTAGGGAAAACATTTTCTTGTCAGTTTAGCTGCTGTCTCTATTTGCAGTTTTACTGTATTTTTGCCTTTGAGGACAAAAGCTAGGCGACATGGTAAGTTCTGAAGTGTCCGAGCAAGTTAACTTGAATACTCTTGAGCACTGAGATTCAAAAATCTTCATGTATCCTATTCTTAACAGTTTTGTTCTATATACTGTTGGTCTTTTCCATTATTTGAACCTTGACCTCTCAGAGGTCATCTTGGTTTATGTGTGGAGACAGTGCAGAGTTGTTGGGGAATTTCAGTGGTCATTTTGTTTTGACACAGAGGCAGTAGTCTGGGGGAAGAAGAGATCTGTGTTGGTTTTTTTTTTCCTGACTTTCTGTTGATGTGCTCAGGACCAAAGGAGTTTTTCTGAAGCTCCTTCAGTAAACTAGGAAACATCTCTTCCCCTCTCTAAATATCTTTCATTAAAAAAAAAAAAAATCATTTAAAAAAAAAAAAGCAAACATATTAATTTGGGTTTAATACACTCTCATCAGCTTGAGCATAGTGTAAAGAAATACACACATTGACATTTGTCCTCCCTCACCAGCTTCTCCAGAGTGAAGTATCTTGCCATGATGCAGTTGGTGCCTGTACCCAACTTCACATTAACTGCAGGTTAACAGTCATTGTGCCCCTAGTAAGGGAGTACTGCAGCACAGCAATCCTTAGCCAAAGGTAAATCGTTTGAGAGCTACAGCCTTTCTTCCTTGGAAAAAAAGAACAGGGATATTGAGAGGTTCTGGCAGACCTTCTGGACATTAGCCTACGATCAGAGAATGGAAGCTGTTCTCATTGTCATGGAAACACTGTAAGCACACAAAAACCAAGATCACCTCTGGTGTTCTTCCATTCCTTGATTCCTACCTTCAGTCTCCTTGCAGTGAGTTATTTCTAACTCAGTTGGCTGAAGAGCATCTCGGGGAGTTCTGTAATGTCTTTCCTAAAGACACCTAATGTCTGCCTAGTCCTTGCCTGGCCTGTTCCTGTGGGGCATCACCATAGGCAATATCTCTGATACTTCTAGAGAAACTGCAGAAGTGGGCAGGCTGCTGTGTTACGCTGTCATGGTGATACCTGTACCTCCGTCTCCTTTTTGTTAGGGCTCAGATTTCAGCATATGAGAACTGAGATCAGATTAAAGCCAAATGGCTGAAACAGCTTGACCAAGAGAAGAAGCAATGAGCAAGGTCAGTAGCTCTAAAGGTCTTCCGGAGACTCTAGCTTCACTTCTCTGACACGTGGGAGCACTTACTACATATTATAAAGTGGTGTTCAGTGCTGGGATGTTTTTGCTTTGTGAATGGTTAAGATTTGTACTTTTTTTCCCCACATAGACAGTTGACTTATTCCCAAGATCCCTACTGTGTGCTCGCTGCTACCAAAAAGGGCAATTTTCCTTTGGGAAAAACCAATTGGAAACTCCAGCCTGTCCAGAACTAAGTAATTGCAATCATCCTCTTTCTTCTAAATGTACCCACATGCTCACTGATAATCAGCAATGCCAGAAATATATGTCTGATGTTTTTACAGCTTTTTGGTGTAGGGAATACCAAGTGACTTGTCTGAGGTTTGTTACGCGTAATTGGTTTGTTCTTTATTCTGTCCCTGATTCCTGCAGTCAACAAAGATCTAAACACTTTTTTCTGTTGTTTAGAACATTTTAAGTTGTAATACTGTAAAAAAGGTAAATGTAACGGTAGCTGCAATAATAGCAAATGAAGCCAGCAGGGAGTTTTGCCTTTTGACAGGAGATTTTAGCCCATTGTTTAATTTCTAGAGTACTTTTTCCAGAAAGTACTTCTCTGCAGTGGAGAGCAATTGTTTAGGTTTTTTTAGTACATTTATGTGTGATGAAACTTGAAGGTGATAAACACTTGTTTTGCTTGTCTGATTGTGGATAATCATGTGGGCTCTTCATTTAGTTGACTGGTCCTCTGGACTGCAGCCAGGAGTCAGGTCTTCAGCACTGCTAGGTGTGCCTTCCTGGCCAGTTCATTGCTCAATGAAGTAAAGCTTTGCAAAGATTTCATTGAGCGTAGTTCTTTTACCAGTGGTACACTGAAGATTGTTTGTTTCTTCGTCATGTATCTGTGCAGGGAAGAAAACTGCCTTACATGTAGTATCTTTCTAAGCATTATGATCGACTGTAAAAAATGCTGGTAGATTAGTAGGGCGTGAGAATGATTGGATGCAATTACTCCAAATATAGGAAAATGCAAAGTCAATTTCAGTGTTTTTCAAGATTTATCATATCGTACAAAAATGTGGATTTGTATTAGGAATAGCTAGAAGTATAGAAGTTTTACAGCTATAATGCATGTTCTTCTGACTGCTTTAGGCATTGTTTTACCCCCACTGAAATTGGTATGACAGCTCTCATTTTAAATAGATTCATTAAAAAGGTGCTTGTTGAAATAATTTAGGAATTTTCTGTTTCATAAAGTCTTCGATAATGTCACTTATTACATAAGTAAATACAATGGGTATTTGTTAGGTGGCAAATAGTTAAAATACTTAAAATTCAAGATAACCAAAGACTGGCTGAACGTATCCTTGAGAATCCTATAACAAATTTCTGTTATACCCTTGTTGTGCTTTGTTACTGCTTTTATTTCTGAAGTATGGTTTCAGAGTTAGCTTTAAAATGTAAAAAAAATGTTACTTTGTTAATCATGCAGTCACCTTGCAAAGTCATTATTAATGAGCTCCCATTTGGTTTGTGAAACACCTGCATTATTATTATATGATAAAAATACATAAAACTTCAACGTTATGTACTAATATTTATACACCATTACAGAGGTAAGTGAATATTGGAGTGAGTTGTCACAGAGAAAAATACTTCATCAAAACCTAGGGGAAATATTGTGTGATTCATTTGTATTTTCACTGAAGCTGTTGCAAAGCTGAATGCAAGTTATTTTTACTTTAAAAAACAGATGTTGTCCCTTCTCGTAGCAGTAACAAGAAACAAGAATTTGAAGTTTTTCATAGATTTGTGCAAGTATTTCTCAATTCTAATCCACGTTATGCCCAGCTGAGGTATCTTGGAAGCAAAGATTGGCTCTACAGAAGGCACGTTATAAGGAGACCCTTATCTTTTTTTAAAATATGAAGTTTAAGAGATGCCCACAAGTTTGAAAATCGGAGTCACTAACCTTTTTGCTAGGGGTTTCCCCACTGCCTTTTAGTTTAATTAATTGACTTTTCATCCGAGTTTTACGTACCTGTGCAAAATGGCAGTAAGTCTTTAATGTTGTCTGAAAACATCTGCATTGCACTTCTTTAAGCATGAAAGCATAGTAAGAGTACGAAACAGGACAGCTCTCATTTTCTGCTTGGACATTGTGGTTATTAAGTTTGGTTGTACCTTTATGACCTGTTTCAAAAATCAGCAGGTCTTTTGCCTGCACAGGATGCTGAGCCTGCTGTGTCTCTGTTTTTGGGCTCATTGTTTAGTGCCATGACTTGAGTGCATCCAAACCACTGTCTGAGCTCAGCCATCTCAGCACTCCACCAAATAGCTCTGCACTTGTCCTTCAAATACTTTGTGTGCGCATTAGTCGCAATCACAGACAATACTTTTTAGTATTTTTAGTGCTGTCCACATCCTGTTCATTTTGTATGTATTATCACCACCTGCAACTGGTGCAGGATATTGTCGGGGTTGATGTAAATGAAATACACCTATACCAGCCCTATTATTTTCTATGCCCATTCCTGCTCCCTTTTGAAGGCTTGCTGCAGCCTTTTTTTTTTCTTTATGGAGCTATTTGGGACTAAGCAGTAGGTTTACAGTGATGATATGGACAGGGAGCCATAGGGCAGAAAAGCATAATCTGCTCCAAGGGGCTGCATTTGGAGATTTCAAACAAGGTTCTCAGTTGGTGTAAATTGCCATCCTGTCATCGATTTTATTGAGTGCACAGGCTGAAGACTGTGTCCCATGTATTTAGTCAGGAGTAATCTTGGTATCAAACTGGGAAGAAGGACAAGCGGTAAGAACAATAAAAATCAAACTCTATTGCTATGTCTAGAATGAGAACACGAAAACTGATAGAAGCCCCGTAGACTCTTGCTAAAGATGATGTCTTTTGATGTGATTTTATTTACTTCTTTATTCATTGGCATTGTCTGGTTAATTGACTAGAACATCTGAGTAAATGAAATGCTGAACAGGAAAGCTCAAGGCCAGTACTTTCTTTCTTTGTTGTCTAAAAATTGGGCTCTAAACTTCATAAGTTCAGTATGTGATTTTCAAAGGGAGAGGTGCCTTCAGAGGAAGCATTACTGTAGTTGATATTCATCTCAGTAAATGCCTGGTTCTAGAAATAGGAAACTGTACTGAGGCAGTCTTAATCTGGAAAGTTTGGCTGTAGAGTGTTCGTTTTCCCTTTTACATTAATCTTTCATGAAATATGTCACGTTCTACAACATATGCAAGCAAGTGACCTTCCTAGATTGAAAATTTTGTTGAAATCCTTTGGTCTTCACATTAGTGAAGTGCTTTAGGTGCTTTAGGACTACTGCAATCAGAGTATTGGTAATGTTAATTAAAAATAAAGGCAACGTAAAGCATAAGCTGAAGAGTAAGACATATCCCCCAAAGTAATCATTATTCCTACTTACATACTTGACTGCATTTAGGTGATGCTTTTTTTGTTGTTGTATGCACTGAAGACTGCTCTAGTCAATAAAAAGTTGGGAAGCTTCAGTATTTCTAAGCATGACATTAACTAGTTATTCTCACAAGGGAGGAGAAACTTCTGCTCTTCTGCTGACTCTTGTATGGTGTGGTGTTGCACATGGGCAGTACCTGAGGACTTTTCATTGCCCCATAGCCATCAGCCCACAACAGCAGAGGACTGTGGCTTGGTTTCACTAAGAAATGATTCCCCAGATTGCTGCTTTGTGGTGTCTGGGATTGGTTAATCTGTTCTAGGACTTTTGCAAGAGAATTGCCTCTTTCGTATCTGCAGAGCATAGGACAGAATTTGTCTTAAAAGATGTTTTTCTTGGCATAGGTCCTTATGGCATAGGAACTTTGTCTCTTTAAGGATATTTCTTGTGTAAAATCTGAATTTAGAAAGTCAAATACAAAATGACAGTCTTCCTTCCATGCTCTTACATTGACATGCACCCTATTTTGAGTTATGTAACATAGGTAATGGGATTTTTATTTGACTTTCATAATCGCATTATACCTGAAGGTACAATCCTCACTTTTGGTTATCGGTATATGGTGATGATTTTATAGTTCAATGGAAAACTGTTGATTCATGGAAGTAATCCTGTGTTCATGCATTATACAGAAGCTATATCTGCTGTTGTTCCTATTGCTAGGGGCTGATGTGTCACATTTATGAAAACATTTTTTTTAGAATTTCTTTTTTCAGCTACCACAACCTGTTCTGGTTAAAACCCTGTTATGTTGATCCTGATGTGGTGATGACATAACTAAGAGGGTGAGGGGGCCAATTAAAGACTAGTAACATCCCCAAAATTGTTAGGAATGTAGTCCTTACAAGTCAGTTTCTCTGGGAGAGGTGGTAATGGCAAGTAAACAGTCACACCTACCGTCTACAAAGAGCTTCCTTAATGGAGTGTGTGTGGAGAATCCCCATGGCTGATGGTCTCCATCCGCATCACCATCCAGCTTCCCACCGTTCTTCTCATTCCTTTCCCACATCAGCATGGGGCCCCGTAGAGATGATGGTATGCATCTCCCTGCCTGTGGGAGGGAGTGGGTGGCTGAAGCTTAGCTCAGCCCTGAGGCATCTCCACATCCTACAGACTTGAACTGAGCAGCAGGGGGATCAGAAGTATAACTTCGAGTCATTTTTTGTCACATAGTGCTGCAGTGAGCAGAGCATCTAGTCCAGCAGTCTGAAAACTGACATACCCAAATTTGAGGTAAAGGTTTCTGTGTTGCTGTGTTCACACACGGAGCAGTCTGAGTTTGGTTAACAAATGTGTGTGAATCTATGAAGCCATATTCGGAGGCATTTGCATAATTACTGAATTATAAGCAGTATTAAAAGAGCTGTCATGCGTTATTATACTATAAAACCTGATATCTTTTGTAGACTATGACACATGGAGTGTTTTTATTTATGCTTTTGACATATTACAAAAGATTGTGTGATGCATTCAGAAATTACAGTGACACTGTAGCAATCTCTGTCTC